AAGTCCACAAAACACATGTAGACTGGTTGGGCAAACTCCCACGTGCACTGGAATGTCCCTGACTTGATAAAGAGCTGGTCCAGCATTCCCCTGTCCAGGACAAAAACGACATTAATGAATCTGACGTTCAACTAATGATGGATTCTTGCTTCCAGTGCCCTCACCTGGACTTTCCTGGGGAGGTTGAGGAGTGTGTTCTCTCTATAACTGGAGCACAGCCTTAAGTCCTCCTTACCAAAGAGTGGTTTAAGTGCCTAAGTGACCTCGCCCCCGGTGACGGGCGTCATCCCTTTCCTCACAGAATCTGCTTCCTGTATGGAGGTCATGTCAGTGGGATTGAGAAGATGCTTGAAATGTGACGGCGCCATTTCTCCCCCATGTGGTTCGATGGTTACCACAAGCCACCTCTCAGCCGCTTATTATTATTATTATTATTATTATTATTATTATTATTATTATTATTACTACAACTACACACTTCGAAAGGATTTGAACTATTTTTAAACGCAGAAATAGATAATAAAGAACAAACTCTCCCTAAACTCTGTAGTTACTGTAATGAACCGCACTAGGATTCTACGCTGAAACAAACTGAAATATGTTACTGGGTCGTTTTGAGATCGTAGAGATGGTCATACTTTGGCTCATCAGTGTTTAGAACTTTCTTTCTGACTTTAAATTTGAATTTATTTACTTCTGTGTTGTTGTTGTTGTTGTTGTTGTTGTTGTTGTTGTTGTTTATCTAGTCTATATACGTTTGTTACATGTGAAATTAATAACTTGAATTTTCTCTTTTCTGCTTTGTCAAGCTCTAACTCTGTCCTTCCTCTCTCCAGGTTCCCTTTGTTCACAGCAGTTTATCAGATTTGTTTTGAGAAGAGGCCAGTCCAAGAAATGATTTCCTGCCTGCAAAGCCACCCATGTGACATGTGATCGCCTGGTGCATCTCAGGAAGCTGTTGTTTTTCCATTGATCATTTTCATTCTAAGGTGAAGTTTGCATTAGGTTCTTATTCTGTCAAAAACAATCCCCAACAGCTTTAAATAGAACACCCATAAAATAAAAAGTCCTTTATCATTTCAATTTGTACAAACTGTCAAAAAAAGTTCTTCCAGGCTTCCAACAGTGTAGGATGAAAAATAAATCCCCGTGTTAAAACACAACAAAGACTGACTCTCCCACTCAGTGTGTATCCATGCCAGCCCTTGAACCACTGTCACATGTGAAAACGAGGTATAATCTGAGCTTCAAAAACAAGAGGCAGACTGTTTTGTCTAACCATGGAACAAATCACCCAATAACATCTATGTAAGTGAAATTGTGTTTTAGCGTGGGCCTTTTGTGGTCGTGTTGTTTTTGTTACCTACACAACCAACTTCACATTTTTCTCGGCAGGTTGATTACCAAGCTGCCCACGGTGCTCCTTAGACTTAAAACACAGCAGCACGCACAAGATCAGCTCTGGGTCGAGCATGTGTTTGTGTGTGAGCCTTGTGATAGGAATAGGCTGGGAAACAGATGAATGGATAATGAGCTTGTGTGTCCCGAGCTGTGATACTTCAGTGTGCTGATGTTGCAACCTTCTCAGAATTCTGCTGTTAATTTGTTGGAATAAATGCCACTCAGACTGATTTCTCCATGTTTTATCTAAAAGTTTTCATTGTTAATCTTGAATCGTGTCATGAGATGGATAATAGGTTACAGGTTACCATCTTTTAAAGGCTGCATTCTGTGTTTTTGATTTATTTTTGAAAGATTGTCATTAACATTTGTCTCAGTTTGTGACCAAATATTTCTGCAACCTTTGCATTGCAGTATGTTTCTGTTTCTATCAGTGATTTATCAGATGTGTCACATATCAATAAGCAGTTGTGTGCTCATTAACATTGCTACCTTGCCTGTCAGTGGCCACCAGCATGGTCACTTTGACACACAGCAGAGGGCGATGTGCTTCAGTCACGGAGAAAATGTCTGCATTTCAATGTCTTTCCAACTTCACTTTGCTTGTGTTCGTTCAGGTAAACGTAATGAATGGAAGTGAAACAAATAATTAATTTTGCTTGATCACATGTAGCACTAGCAAACCTTTGCCTCTTCAATTGATTTTGCATTAACAGACTAAACTTGAATGCCTTTGACAAAACCAGCATTGGCTGTCAGGTAAACTGTCCACGACACCTTTAGAGTTGCAGCAGGAAGCTGCCTTAGTATGTAACATTAGTTACATTTTTGTTGCTATTCTGAAATAAAATATTAGAAACTACACTAAAGTGTTAAGTCTGAGTTGTGGAACATTGAAAGGGGCCCCTTTGAAATTTTCTTTTATTAATATTTTTTAAAATGACTGCAGCACAAATGTTTGACACCACTGTCGTTAAGACCTCTGATGACCTCTGGAATGACTTTAAAATGATAGCGGGACAGATGATGATTTTTTGCAGCACAAACGTGGTTTCGGCTCCATCAGCACAAACGTTTGACACCACTTGAAGAAGTAGACCTGGGGTAAAATTTGTAGTACTTTTTTAAAAGTATAAGCTGTTTCACTAGTCCAGGCCACATATCTATAGAAAACCCAGCCCGCTGGCTCTGGACATTGTTTGGCAATTTACCACAATTATTCTCCCACCAAGATCTAATGGCCTGTAAGGATAAGTTAAAGCCAATGAATGACAGGCTGCCACACATGGATAATATAGGTGGCTGTCAATCAGACTTTCTAAAAAAAACTCAAGAAGAGATGAGAAACAAAGTCACTGACATCTATGAGTATGAAAAAGGTTCTAAAGCCATTTTACTCCAGTGAACCATGCTGTGAGCCATTATGCACCAATGGAGAGAACTTGGAACAGGGGTAAACCTAAGAAAGAGACTGGGTACAAATGGCATCCATTGGAGAGTTCAAGGTGAAAACCAGTGCCAGCCAAAAAGGGCACGTTTGGGAAGATATTGTGTGGATCCATGACACAAAGCTGAACTTGTTGCAAGATTTGTCGGTGGTAGTGTGGTGCTCTAGGGCTACTTTGCTGCTTCGGGACCTGGAAGACTTGCTGTAATACATGAAACCATGGATTCTGTTCTCTACAGGAGGATGTCCAGCTAGCATTTCATGCTCTGAAGCTTAAGTGCATTCAGGTTATGCAGCAGGACAATAGTACGAAACAAACCAGTAAATGACAATCCTAGTAAGTGCATAGGCATGAAGTGCTGTTTGAATGTGTGTGCGATTGCGTGGACGACACTCGTAGCAAGAGAGCGATCCCGTCTGCCATCCTGTTAATTAATGAGGTCACTTGGATCAAGATTTGAGTGAGAGTTGAATCCCCTAGGAAAGGATCTCAAGATTGTATTATAGATATCTGACAGCTGGTGTGGTAGGCCACCACAAATATTTCATCTTCAAAGACTGGAGAAAATAAAATAAAAAACTATATGCCTAACAGTAAAATCGTGCTCACTCACCTAATTACTCTGGACCTTGTTACTATTTATTCATCAATCTTTAATCTCACAGAAATTATTCAAGTAATAATACAGTCACTTTTATATTAACCCATAATGCAAAGATACACGAACAAAACATTCACCATTCAAAGATTGCTTGGATGGGTTTCCTTTCCAAACACGTGGAGCCAGAAGAAGAAAACTCTGGATGTCGAGCTTCAACCTAACCTGACGCTCCAGTCCGCCTGGTGGCGCAATGGTGCGGCTAGCTGGTACTAGGAATCGCAGAAGAAGAACACCCACAGCCGCTAACTAAAACGGTCCTACCTTAACGGCAGGGATGTTACAGGTCACTTTGGTTGGTTGTTAAATTGTTACTGACAACATACTGTAAGTCGTTTATAGGATTTTGTTTGCGGCGTAGCAGCAGCAGCAGCTCATAGCAATGCTAACTTTATGTGCTAGCCTGGCTAGCAAACTGGAACCATGTTTTGTTGCCGTCATTGATTAGAAATCCCAAAGGAAACTACAGAGACATTATAATCTGTGGTTGTTCTGTTTTCAAATGTTTGTTAATATTGGTAGAAAAACATGATAGCATGGGATTCAAAGGAGTAAATACAAATTAGAGTTAGCTAACACCGTAGAAACGTTAGGTATCTGTTTCAGTTGATTTTCTTCTGACGAACTGAAGTTACTCTGATTTAGTCCCTGCTGAGCTGTACCAGGCTGCTGCCAGATCCAGTGTAACAAACTATGGAAGTGCTTTGATAAAGGAAATGCAGATGGACCGACTGAAAAGGCCGTGATTACATGCGGATCTCTGGACCAGCTGCGTCAGCAATGTCTGCAATCCCCCTTCTGCGATGCACCATCAGGTAAAACTGTCCCAACACGTACGATCACTAGATTACGTGCGGGCTGGAGTATAATGACAGTTTTAAAACTGATTTTAAAAAGTCTAATATGTGCATTTTGAAGGCATATTAAGAAAAGTATCAAAATGACCGAGTTTGATTTTTGCTTTATCAGCAATGGACAGAAAATGTGACAGAGTCTTTCCTTTGATGTGTTCCTGCGGTACAGTACGGGTCGCAGTTTACGATCGTCTGGTAACCTGCCCTCCAGACATCAGGCTGCTAAAGGCTTTTTGGGTTTCATTTTCCTTTGTTGGGATCGACACATCTGTAATAACTTACATTTAATGCAGTCTTTAATATAATTCAGTGCAAACATTTTGACATTAAAAGTAGGTTCTAAATTTTTATCTTGGAATTATTAACTTGCAAAGTCACATGATCATCCCGTTCACTTCCGTTTAAATATTTCATAAATCTATGAAATATGTAAATCAACGTTATTTTTCCAAACCTTTGTGATTATTTTACATCTTGTTTAACAGCTGTAGGTCAAAGGTCTCATTTTGGCCACAGAAAAGTTCCACTTTGCCTCGTTAGCCCAAACATGACAGTGGTGTTTCTGCTTTGTATGATAGTTTTATCCTGCAGTCCTGGATAGCACAGCAAACGTTTTTCACAGTCAGTGAATTCAACAGGTTTAAGGGCAGTTAAAGACTCTACAATGTCAGATCATTCAAAGTGCTTTCATTATTATTTTTTATTATCATTATATTAGCGGAGTCGTCTCAAAAGCCAGCTAAAAGTTCCCAGTTGGGACTAAACCAGCTGATGTTAATTTGCAAGTTGCGGAGCTGCTTTCTGGTCACTGATAGAGTTCAGCTGCTGTCTCTACCTTCCATGCACGTGTTCAGTACTTCCCCCTGTGTCATTCTCTTATTACACATGACGTACCCTGTAAGAACGCATTGTTGACAAACAGCGCACTCAAAATACATTTTTTTATTTCTATAAAGGTGAGAATATCGTACTGATGTGTCACATAGAGAAGCTGGATGGGGGGTGTGAGCAGTGATGGTGACTGCTACACAGTCTGGACACAGACACACACACCAGGGCGAAACAAGCAGAATGATGGTCACATGGTCATCTCTGGTCTCTACAGGTCGAGTAGCGCCCCCAGCATTCCCCAGCTGACTATCCCCCAGTAACATTACTGTCCCCCAGTAGTAACATTACTGTCCCCCAGTAACATTACTGGGGGACAGTAATGTTACTGTCCCCCAGTACTGGGGGATAGTCAGCTGGAATTCTGACAGTTCATTTGTTTTGTTTTCTTTTAATATCACTTAGAACTCTTTTGCTGTCAGTGCCTCATCGATCTGTCTGTCTGCTCAGGTACTGCTGTCCGACTCCATGCCATTACTGTTGGATCTCTGTCTTTTGTGATTTTGTGTGACTCTGGGTGGGTCTGTCCTTTGTTACAGACATTACTCTCTTACCCTTAGTTTGCTGTGGCAGAGAGCTATCATGTGAAGCAGGGCTTCAACAAGACATATAAATATACCAGTCAAATGCAACACTGCTATAAAAAGAGCAAGACTTCATTTTGTCGCAGGTCAAAGTGGAATGAATGTGATTGGCTGAACAGCTGTTCATGCTGTGTTATCTGTACTTCCATCAGTGTAAAAGACCCAGCAGCAGATTAGAATGAAGTATAATAACACTAACACATGTAATAAATCACCAGATTAATACACTCATGTTCCCGTGATAATGCGGCGCACTGTTTGCTCTTCATTCAGTGATTTCAGTACAGCCGGCTGCTGCTCATAAAACATGTTCCCCCATCATATAAACACTTATTCTCTCAGCTGAGACTCGCTGCTGTTTAAAGGTTTGAGAGTAAAGGTTGGATATAAAAACATCAAACATGGGCTCAGTCTGTGTTTGATGTGAGGTCGGCAGTTACAGTGTCTGTGTCCTGTTTCAAGACCATAAATGTACGATTGTTTTTAGCCAACATGAGAAATGTAAAGTTGTGTCTATGACTTTGTTACTGATGGCGAGCAGGGAACAAAGACTTTATAGGCAGACGCGTTATTTTCATCATCAGCACGTTTCAGTTTGTTTCACAGTTTTTCAGCAGTGCTGGAAAACTAACCGCACGGCTGATAAATGTCTGTCGTTTAGCTTCAAAGAGACATGAGGTGATGGTAAATGGTAAATGGCCTGTATTTATATATAGTGCTTTACTAGTCCCTAAGGACCCCAAAGC